AGACAGACAGGGAGAGTCTGACACACACAGAGGGGGAGAGGGACGAGGGAGACCCCAGCCCTGTAACACTGCATGGAGAGGGAGAGGAGGAGGAGGAGGAGGGGGAGAGAGGGGGACAGAGGGGAGAAGAGGAGGGAGGTGGTGAGGGAATGGAGGAGAGAGAGGAGGAGAAGGAGGAGGAGATGGAGCAAGGGGCAGGGGAGGAGTGTCCCAGCCGCCTGAACGAGAAGGACCGAGAGTCTGAGATGGACGTGGTGGAGACGCCCGAGTCGCGAACCGATGACCACGTGGGCGGGGAGTCTGCCGAAGCTGTAGCGGACCGCTGCGTCTCTGAGCAGGGGAGCACCTGTGGCGAAGACGGAGCTGTGGGCGCCACAGAAAGGTACGACCCGGCTTTGACAGAGTCGTCCTCGTCTCAGGTCGATGCAGTGAAAGGACTGCCAATTAAATCTGTCGCCTTCCCCTCTTTCCTCCCTATCTTTTCTCTCCCTCTCCTGCTCCCCTAGCCCCGGCAGGCGCTCCTCTTGTCAGGATTTTCGGAAGCTGCTGCGGGACATTTGCAATGACATCTCGGGACACAAGTGAGACTCATAGCTTACGTAGATTTCAGCAAGACCCGGGCTGGCCTGCAGCCCCCCGTCAGCAAAGCTGTCCCTTGAGTCACCTTCTCCTTTGTGCTCAAGAAGCCAGTGGTTTGTCCCTGTCTCAGTGTGTAGCGTTGAAGGTGGCCTTGTGTTTTTGGCTGGTTTGGGGAGTTCAGTGTATACCCCAGTGGAGAAAGCCAGGTGAATGAAGGTGAATGAAGGTGTCCTTGCTCCTGTTCAAAGGTACGCCGAGCTCTTCCTGAGGCCCGTCAATGAGAAGTTCGCTCCTCACTACTACAGTGTGGTCAAAAGGTGTGTGTGGGAGTAGAGGAGGGTAAGTATACGTGTGCGTGTTTCACGTGACCCCGCTGGGTCTGAACCCCTCCCTCCCGCACACGTTCTCAGGCCTGTAGACCTGCAGACCATCCGGAGGGCCGTGTCCAGGGGCGAAGTGGACAACCTGGAGACGCTGAACCACCAGCTGATGCTCATGTTCCAGAACGCACTCATGTTCAACAGCCAGGACAGCCAGGTGTACCACGGGGCCCGCGCCATGCAGAGGGAGGTGCTGCAGCATGCAGAGGGAGGGGCACTGCTGCAGCACGCAGTTTTTACACAGGTGAGACAGAGAGAGGGGCGCTGTGGCTTTTTTATATACAGGTGAGACAGAGAGAGGTACTGAATTTTTTTACATACAGGTGAGACAGAAAGAGAGGTACTGCAGTTTTTTACTTACAGGTGAGACAGAGAGAGAGGCATTGTAGCTTTTTACCTACAGGTGAGAGGCAGGCAGAGATATTACAGCACATACAGGTGAGAGAGAAAGGCACTGCGGTTTTTTACATACAGGTGAGAGGGAGGCAGAGGCAGTACAGCATGTACAGGTGAGACAGGTATCACAGCTCATACAGGTGAGCAGGAGAAACAAGTATTCCATCTCGAACAGGTGAGAGATGCTACATCATGTAAAGATATGGAGAGACAGATTTAAATTGCTGCAATGAATGTAAGACACTGATGGTGAGAGAAGGGAAAAGGTGCTTTACCCTCACATGGGTGACGAAGGGAAGGGGAGATGTTTTAACATTTACGGGGGTTGGGGAGAGTACAGGACAGACATGCCTCTTCACCTCAAATCGACACAGGTTGAGAGAGTCAGTGGGGAGGGTGAGAGGTGAGGGATAGAACCTGAAATGTCTGATTTTTTTCAGATGCTGATAGATGAGGTTCAGTCATGTGACCATCTGAAAGCCTCCTCCCCTTAAAACCCATGGACTGAGGGGCAGAAGAGGGGAACCAATCAAGCTCTCCTCTGCTGTGCATCATCACCGACTCAGAACAGTGGCACGCTTCTACGTTTCTGCTTTGCTGACAACCCAGTGTGTTGGCCACCATTGTGTCAGGCAGTCGTCCTTTAAATTGCTTGCAAATACCTTATGTAATTTAATTTTTTTTAATATGGAAAAAAGCTATTGGTGACTAGTCAGCACGGGCAGCTGAAATGTAAATGACTGATTTTGTTTAACAAATCTTTAACTAGACCACAGAGTGGGCTGTACAGAATTTGCCTGTGAGATTTCTTTATTGGACAGAGTAAAGCAAATGTTTGGGATGCTCTGTAAATTAGATTTCATTCCTGGGGTTTTTTTTAGTCCCATAGTTTGGGGCTTTGCTGTTGATTTTGTTGATTGCAATCATGATTAATGTATATTGTGAATGGAAATTCATTTCACATTCACTTGTAAATACAACAGAGAGAATAAAATTAAGTCTAATTTGTTAAATCGTGTCTGGCCCAAAACATTATACCCTGCCCTCTAGTGTGAACATACACTGGCAGAAGAGAACAGTGTAGACCTCATACAGAAACTCACTGTTAGCTGAAGGTACTTGTTTCCCAGTGAATAAGGATAAAAGAACCTACAAACAGCCAGTGTGATACTGCCAGATCCCTCCTGACAAGAGAAGGAAGCAAAAACACAGCCAGTATACACACAGAAACAGGACACAAATGTCTGTTGTGATATGTTTTATTAAATCATCACTAAGTCATGTTACATCAGTAAGTTCCATGAGAGGCTCCAGAGAGAAAGATCACTTTCTCACCAGATCCAGTGCAAATGCAGCCAAGTCCCACAGACCTCCCACTGACGGGGAACAGACAGAAAGGAATCGTACCCGATCCTGACTAAAGGGAGAAAATAATTTAACAGTAAAGACTAAAATCAATGCTGACAGCGTTCTACAAGTCGTTAACAGTCCGTTGTAAACAGACACAGGGTGATGTGCCACCGTACTGATGCCCTCGTGTATATAAATGCACTGCATTGTTGCTACGGACTACAGCACAGGAACATTCCAATGGGGAGGTAAATGTAGAAGGAAGAGGGCATTGGGCCCTTCCATAGAGCAGCATGCAGTGAGTGTGGTGGGGGTTACAAGGGAAAACTAGCTGAATCATCAGGAAACATAACTTCAGAATCTAACAAAGTGCATCTGAGCAAATTAAGCTTAAAGTATATATACCAACAAAAACTTTTGGCACTCTCCTCTGCGTACAGCAAAGACACTAGGTGAAGCATTTCGAACATACAAAAAAGTACTGTCAGCCACGGTTGGAGCTGAATTTCTATACGTACAGTAACTCAGAAACAGAGCTCTACGGTAAAGGGACTTAGTTAGTGGCTGTCAGGCTGAAACCATTCTCCAACATTGCTCTGTCTTCTGTCTGCCTCCACAAATAGCCAGGGAGAAACTGCCACTATCCAAGACATTAACCTCTACTGTAGTGATCGGTGACTTCAGCCAGAGCCCTGAAATTAGCATTTCACTGGAGTGAGAGTCAGGCCTGGATTAAATCTAAGTGCAAAGCAGGATGTCCTCATCGCTGAAAAACATGAAAGCAAGCATTACTGTTTCAGGCTGAACAAAGACCAGCCCGTTTAGTGAGCGGCTCTGCCCAGGGTAACCGCAGTACCTATGGGTCACCACTAGATCGGGCACTAAAATATAAATAAGGAGATGTACCATAGGTACAACCGTTGCATTACATTACATTACTTTATGTTTGCTTGCCAAATGTTGTCCTGTAAGCAACTTGCATGGTTTACAGCTTTTACCTTATCCATTTATACAGCTGGATATTTGCAGTAATTTCAGCCCTTTTCCTTATAACTGCTCTACAATGCTACCCACTGCTGCAACACCCCTGAATGGTGTCTCTTGTGACACTACTACAAGAACAACTTTAATTTTATAAATGTTCAAGTTATCTAAAAATGTGTTAGTAATGAAAAAAGTAACACTTGCTTAAATGTATGACCCAAATGTACAGACATACAGCTTTGCAGTTACACCTAATCCTTACCTTGGATTACACGTTACCTCACTTTGCTGATAGTTTCTGAGACACTGGGTTCCTCTGAATCCAGATCCCTCTGGTAAAATGCTAAGAACCGGACCTGAAGGCTGCTGAGCCCTCACAGCTATTGCCAAAATGAGGCCATTTCCCAAACCTCACAACACACACAGAAAATCTGTCACATTTCCATTCAACAGACCTTTTGAAAACATGCTGACAGGTGATTCGATTAAGGTAGCAGAAGAAAAAGAGCTATGAACTAGCAGACTATCCCTTTTCCTTAATGTAAGGAAATTAAAACGTCCTTATTCCAGTCAGTGTCACCTAATGTAAGGTGCAATTCACCCCTCTCTTCAGCCAATAGCATCCCGATGTGCTCACCTTTCTCCGTGTCCTCTGAGAGGACAGACGGGAAGCGCGGAGGTTCACACAGCACAGAAACCTCTGGCATGTGCAATCAAGGAGACTGAGAAGTGGCATTCTAGCCACCCACTCTGCGGTTTGGACGCAACTTCGAACGACAAATTTAAGGAAGTGCTACTTTTTTCGTCACTTACACATTTTCCTCGGAATTCAAGCTGCAATTACCACAAAGCCATTTAGGTAATAAAAGTAAGCATCACTTCCTTAGAATTTGCGATTTCATAGTTAGAAATCACAAAGCGGGACTTCATTCTAAAATACGATAAGTAAATGTGTGGGGGGAGGATCAGGATCAGAGCAGGTAGAAGGGGAAAAAACTCACTGTCTTACGTGCGTTAGTGACAGCCCCCCCTCAGTTACCCCTCTGTCTCCCTAGCATGCGGTTCAGCTTCTCGCAGCTCTCCAGCTTCAGGGACTCCGCCTTCTGCTTCAGCCTCTCGTCCCGGTACAGCTGGCCCAGGTGGGCGAGGTCTGACTCTGACAGGGACAGGAGACATTACATTATTTAGCAGACGCTCTTACCCAGAGCGACTTACATAGGCTACGGTTCTTTACAATGTTATCCATTTATACAACCGGATATTTACTGAGGCAATTGTGGGTTAAGTACCTTGCCCAAGGGTACGGCGGCAGTGCCCCAGTGGGGAATTGAACCTGCGACCTTTCGGTTACAAGTCCTGCACCTTAACCACTATGCTACGAGACAGGGGGTGCATCACTCCAAATTCAGTCGTACATGAACCAGCACATGGACAAGCATACCATGCTGCATTCTAAACAGCTACATTACAGTCATTAGAATCTGCTTTTTAGACCAGCGCTTTGGGCCTTGTGTAAGCTAGACTTTCCTCTTCTACACATCCAAAGGGATCTGTTTCACTCAATCGATTTTCTCGTTACAGTACATCTCTCCCCCTCTGATTGATTCTGGTTCCAAGCAGCCTGTTTGGCGATGTAGGAAAGGATCCCTGCCTGATCCAGGATCACTTCACCCAACCCACAACCTTACCCCCAACAACTATGAAAGAGAATTAAAACTGATCCAAGGCATGAACTTGGTGACAGAATCCACCCCCATTCTGTGAGGTGGAGATTGGTCACGTTACTGTGTGTCTAGGTGAGAGGAGCACTGAGGAGACAAACAAACAGAGAGGAGACAGACAGACAGACGCAGAGACGTACTCTGCTGCTTCTCCTTCCAGCAGCTGCTCTGCAGGTGGTCGATGTAGTCGCTCTCCACTGACTTCTCCAGCTCTCGCAGTGCCACTCCTCTGTACTCTCTCTGGAAGCCCTTGTCCACGTAATAGGGCACTCCCAGGTGCTGCGTCTCCCGGGAAACCACCAGGCCCAGCGACCTGTGGTTGGGGTACACTAGTCACACGGAGAACGGACAGACAGACGGACAGCCCTCGCACACAACCCCAGCACAAATGGACGGACAGGCTACAAGAACACTCGAGTGCAGGGCATGGAAGGCCCTCCAGCAATTGCTGCAATCATCTCCTGCACGTTTATTCATTTGGCAGATGCCTTTATCCAGAGCAGCTTGCAAGAAATGTACCCAATAGGGTTAGGCAATTATTTGCACAGACACTGAATCGAAAGTGCCATTCTTGGAATACGGCGCCAGCAAAACCTGAGTTGGGAACACGAGACGGTCAGCACATGCCGGACTTTTCAGCAACCTCTTCATTTTTTCTGCTTTGGTTACACATTAAACCACGTGAGATGCCTCCTCAGTTTAAGGAACAGCTGTACTGACGTTTTTTTAGCAGTCACCCATCCTTAAGGTTTGCCGAGTAGGCATTCTGTGGGTCTGTAGGAGGGGAAAGTTCTGAGACTAGGGTGGGGCAGGGACAGAGAGAACTGGAGAGGGTCAACAGGATCGAAAAGCGGAACCTCAGATATTATGTCACATGATGAGTTTCTGCTGAAAGTCAGTGTGTGACAGGCTGCGTCACAGAAAACACAGAACATGCATTTTTTGTGCCTTATGGTGGCTTTGACAGAACAGAACTTAACAAGTCACTCTCCTCTGCCACAACATGGGTTTGGCTTTTCCCACATTTCGAAAGCGGGATTGTGCATGCATCAGCTGCTACTCATTGAGTCTGAGATTACTCGGTCACTGCTGGTCAGCTCACGCCCTACGTTACGGTCCACGCGGTCGACTTACGGTTTGTAGAAGAGGCTGTAGGGGGGGTTGGTGTGCATCAGCTGGGTTACCACGGAGATGAGGATGAGCACCAGCACAGGTAGCAGTTGCAGGAAGGCCGTCAATGTGTTCTAGGTAAAAAAAGACACCGGCATGAGTCCCCCACGCAACTCACCAGACGGACAGATGAAGGGCCAATTATAACACCTCCCTGTGAGTGTGTGTGTGTGTATGATTCAGGGTGGTCTCGCTGTGGTTTTGTCACCTGGCTGTGGTTGTTGTTCTCCACTTCCTCCTCGCGTCTCGTCTCGTTAGGGCGGCGTGGGCGGGGCTGGGAGTAGAACTGGGAGTACGAGGCTCCTCTGTTGCTATAAACGTGGATGTTGCCTGTGGGAAAACAAGCCATTATTAATACGGATTTTTTAAAATACTGTAGCACAAATCCGCCAAAAAAATCCTCCCACCTCTCTCTCAACACACACACACACACACACACACACACACACACACACACAGAACCGACACACCTGTAGGGAACCTCCCCGCGAAAAAGATGTGGAAGAGCTCCTCGGGGGAGATGTCCGCCTCAAAGTCTCGGCGGAAGGTGCGCCGGTGGCCGGGGTGGGCGGGGCCTGTGGGCTGGGAGGGGCTTTCTGTGGGCATCTCCTGCCCGTGCTGGTCGTACTGTCGCCGCTTCTCGCTGTTGCTAAGGATGGCGTACGCATTGCCAATCGCTATGGGAGGAGGGAAGAAGACACCACGGTGTCACCACCATCTTTGGTGAAGAGCAGGGGATACATCAATACTGTAGCAAAAGGGAGAGAGCAGTCACCCCACCCGGCCTTGAACCCGGGTCTATGGGGTTTCAAACCTGCAGCTTGACTGCAACGCCAAAGAGCCAGGCTCTTTGGTATGGCAGTCAGAGTGCATACTCAATCGTAGTGACGGCACTCCTTCACAAATACATTAATCTTTGTGCCACACTGCTAAAACTATCAGTTCAACAGAGATGAGGAGATGGGGCAGGGCATCATTGTGGGGTCTCTGTGTGTCCTCCTGATCCTCCTTAAATCCCTAACATGGGGGGGGGTTACCTTTGAAGGCATCAGTGGCACCCGGAGCACAGTTTTTGTCAGGATGGAACCGCAGTGCCAGCTTCCTGTAGGCCTTCTTCAGGTCTTCCTCGCTGGCGTCTTTGGCCACGCCCAGAATCTCGTAGAAGTTTTTGCATCTCTTTATCCTGCGACACACAAGGACAGTACAAACAGCCGTCTCAGAACACCACTCAGAACTCCTTATGCTTCCACTCTACAATTTAGCCAGACAATTTTTCCACATATTACACTCAGATATTGATGGCATTGGTATGATACATTTAAACAGCTAAACTGAGAGCAGGATGCATTAACAGTTACACGGCTGCAAGTAAAAGACAGACAACTTTTACCTCCCCCAATTTTGGGTAGTTCACTGTGTTCTCTGTCACTCATCTCACAGACACTGAAAAATCTGTCCAGTGGCATGAGTATAAGGTGCCACTAGGACTTAGCTGTCTGGGCTACCCTCCGGACGGCCCCCTCTGATGATTTTCTGCTCTTACATTGACACTGTCTCATTCAAATTCTACATCATAAATAAGGCAAACAGCCTGGCTTAAAAAAGGTAAGAAAAGAAGCCTACTGCTAGCATTGTCTGGTTCCCATCTTGTCACAGTAGTTGCAGTGTACTGTAGGTTTTCAAAACCCATGTTTTTCACCATATTACAGAGCATCTCCATCCTAGTCAACTGACTTACATATTAAAATGTGAGTCTGGCATTGCCCACGTATCTTAGTTGCTCTGTGCCAATTTAAGGCAGTCAAAGACAGCCTGTTTTATGTCTGCATGCATGTAGGCTTCTCCACCACCCAGCTGCCATGCAGTGCACTGCCTGAAAACTGCTCCCATGGTTGAGTCATGCACCAAGCTCAGTATCTTGGTTGCTAGGCACCACTTTAAGCCTGTTGGAGACGTCAGAACTGTGCAAATTCACTGCCCAAGTGCTGCCCCACATAATTCGAATATGCCTTCAATGTTTTGTATTTAAACATGTGTATTATACTGCTTGACAGAACTGCTTGTCTGTGTTTTGACTGTACTGTCAGAACTCAGCTGACCACAGCGTCTTCGTCCCTGAGGGTGAATGCTGGCATAAGCCTCTGCACCAGCCAGCTTCTGCGCAGTGCACTGCCCGAGAGCTGGTTTCAGCATTGTGACACATTTACCAAGCTGACAGCAACCTCTATTTCTGCGATGGTGAACTTCACACTGTAGCCCTCCCCAGTCTTCACCCTCCTTTTGCTGCTGCACCAGAAGCTGGCTTTCCGGCGTGACCTACATGTATACAGCATCATCCCCACAGACTCTCACTGGTCATAGCTGCAAACTCTGCGTGTGGTGAGAGGGTGCTGCATTGAGCTGTGGCAAGTTTTAAAACAACACCAAATCAGCATGTCTGTTCCTGGGAAAACACTCACATAAAACCAGACCCTGCACAATCACGGAGATCCTCTACCAAAGGCCCCTAGAGGGAAATGCACCGAGAGGATGCACAGGAACCACAGGGAATTCCCCTAATCACCCTCTAAACCAGTGTTTCTCAACCCTACTCCTGGCGGCACCCTGTCCTGCATATCTTCTATCTATCCTTGCTGCTTGATTAAATCAGGTGTGCTCAGCTAATAAAACGTGCCACTGATGAGTTCAGTCAGGTAGGTAGAGCAAGGATAGATAGAAGATATTCAGGACAGGGTGCCGCCAGGAGTAGGGTTGAGAAACACTGCTCTAAACCAATGGTCCCAGACTCTACAGACAGATGTGAGGCTGCAGGGCCAAACCATGTAGAAGGCACTGTAGGCTAATGCTGCTAATCAGGAGTAGTAGTTAATTCAAGCTGCTTTTTCCAAGGAGCTGCGACATCATTGGAGGACCATTCCCGCTGTAAGGATGCAGATTCATAGGCAGTGGGAAGCTGTCACTCAGTTCCAGCTCTCTAACCCTAGCAGGGTGTGTGAAGAATGGACAAATACACAGGCAGGCTGAAACCAGGCCTTCAGGCTCCACTGCCCTTCACTCCAAGGGGGGTGGACCTCCATATGATCGAGCAGGGCAGCCTTCCCTTGGGGCCAATCACTGCGCCGGAAACAACTGGGGCCCCCATGTTGAATATCTGACTGGAGACAAGCTGAACCTTGCTTTGACTTTTACTACTTTTTCATCAAATGAATCTGGCAGTGCCTTTATCAGAAGCCTCCTCTGTATTACACACAATGGGAATGCCTTGGTATTGTCAAAAATTCCCTGTGCTGAGTTTCGTTGTAGCCCTCTCCTGACTGTGTTCACTCTATTGAAATTAGAGCACTCTGCGATTGCCTTAGGAATCACCAAGGCAGTTGGTATGAGGTTACTGAAGTCCCTGGTTATTTCAGAGTTCCGTGCTCCATCACAGACACACCTGTTGGAACAGAAATTCCAGAAGGTCCAGCAGGTGTCATTCTGTTGTTAATGCTGCT